GACTTCTGGGACTTAACTTCTTCCAATCCTGGTATCTTGGAATAGATCAGGGTTCTGGGAGGTCAGGAGAAGCCCAGGTCCCATCCATTCCCCAGGCTCCAGGTATAAAAATGAAGAAAGGCAAAGCAAGGTTATAAAAATTTCTGTTCACTTGAGATATTTGCATATAAGCAATCAATACTTCTACCTCCCAAATAATGGAATAGAATATGCTTGTACCATTCACGATACAATTTTGGAATTCATAAAATTGATATAATTTAATTCATAGTGCCTGGGGGGGGAGGGCAATAATGGGACCCAACCTCTAAGATGCACGGAGGAAGTTTTCTTTTCTTCAGACCTGTCAGTGTGTCTCTGTAACTGCAAATATAACCTTTCTTGAAAATAATATTAAAGATCTAAATTTATAGCTCCTTCAGGCAATGTCAAAAACAAACTGCAAAAGTTCAGAGGCAGAAAATAACTGTGAAGGCATGAAATACTTACATATTTGAGTAACTCTGAATTTATAGTTAAAACAAAGACTGGAAATGCTGGGGAGTAGTCTAAGTGGTATGTGGGTGGCTGCATAAAATTTTATAGCAAAACTTTGGTGTTGTTATCCCATTGCACAGATGGAGAAAAGAAAATGCAGAGAGATTAAGTGACTCACCCAGGGTCGCACATAGAATCAGAAATTCACACTAAAGGAGCAAGGCTCCAGAGGTCACACACTAAACCATTTGATACAGAGCCTCTAAAGAGCAGTACGGTGTAGTGCTGAGGGTATAGGTGCTAGAGTCAGACAGTTAGTTTATGGTTTTATTTTTTTGTTGTTGTTTTGGTTTGGTTTTGGTTTTGGTACTGGGAATTGAACCCAGGGGCAGTTTACCACTAATCCACATCCCAAGCCCTTTTAATTTTTTTTTTTTTTTATTTTGAGACAGGGTCTTGTTAAGTTGCTTAGGGCCTCACTAAGTTACTGAGACTGGCTCTGAATTTTCGATCCTCCTGTCTCGGCCTCCCAGGTTGCTGTGATTACAGGCATGTGCCATCCAGAGCCCTTGAGTTCCTTACTTTATCTAAAGCCAGTGTGCTCTACTGTAATATGAGCACAGTGGTCCCCCTATGGCAAGCGAGGGCATGTTGGGATCTGAGAACAAGCCCAGGGTTACACAGCAAGGATTCAGTCATCACAGCTGTGCTGAGCTCAGATCCTCCATCCCCAGATTAATTAAAAATAAAAACAAAACAAGGGTCAGAGACAGCAGGTGGGTTGGTCAGGGCCACACAGCAAACCAGTTATGGGCCTCAGGACATAAGGTCCTTTGCACATCACCAGCAGCTCTAAGCAATTGATCCAGTCTAGTCCACGCCATCCCCTAACAACATCTTTCTCAAGTTGCTCCTTCCAGGACTCCAGATAGGCTTCTGCTGACTTGCAGGGCCATGCCACCACCCTAGGTGGTCATGTGCCAAAGTGAGTAAAGCAGGAAGGAGCAAGGGCAGAAGCCACAGAACAAAAGGAGCCAGAAACCTGGTAGAGATCCAGGCATAATCTTGGAGTGTCCACTAGGTGGAGCCACACTCCAGCATGAGAGAGAGAGAAAGAGAGAGAGAGAATATGAATGAATGAATGAATGAATGTGTGTGTGTGTGTATGTGTGTGTTTCCATGTTTCAAATGAAGAACATGAATCTGTCCTGTGAGGGATTGAGAGTTTCACTCACTCACTCATCCATCCATCCATTCATTCATTAAATATTCACTGAGCATGGGAATACGTACACCCCAGGCATGTGAGCTTGTAAGCGCTGTAATTTCAGTCTGGCAACTTCTCTGCTTCTGTGAGGCATCTCCCAGCAATGCAGCAACTCCACGGTTCCTTATCCAGCATTAGCAAGGGTCCAGAGATACTATTCTTCCCTCTCTCCTCAAACATTTATGCGGCCTGGACTCTCTGCCACCACCTAAGGATGCTAGGATTGACAAGATGGTGAAGACAAACGTGTGACCCAGGTCAACTTGGCCTGATCTGCAGAAGGAGTGCTGTCGAGGAAGCTGGACTGCAGGAGTCCAGAAATCCTGCTCAGGACCCTTTGAAATAAAGGCAAGGCCTTTCTCACTTTGGCCTCAAAGGAGAGATCAGAAGTTCTGTCCAGTCAGTTGTTTCTCTGCAGACTGTAAATGATGTGGTCCATGTCCCTTGAGAAATATCCCTGAATGCCACCTAAAAAGTGGGGTTTGAGATGACAACACTGTGACGGAGTTCATTTTATCTTTGGCTTTGGGTAAAGCCTTCACTTTTCCCTGGGCACACAATTCTGTGTCTTCCTTTCCAAAAGAGGCTGCTCAGATGTGGAAGGAACCACCCGGGACTGAAGGGGCAGATACTAAGCTCTATCACCCGTTTTGACACTTACATGATGTGTGGCCTTAATAAGTCACTTCCTTTTTATGGGTCTCACTCTTCTCATCTGTAGTAAGTTAAATACAGCCTCAGATGCTTTACAGAACCTTCCATCAGGAGATGGCATCTCTCTCCACACTTGCCTTGATCCTACACGGGCCCACTCTAGCCCAAGTTGCCAAGAGGCATAGAGAGAAGCAGAAATAAATGCAAGTGCTTTTCAGCTCCAGGCCTGAAGTTGCTGAAGGCTTGAAATTAAGCTAACATATTGGAGGACAGTAGAAATATGGAAGAGAGGCCAAAGCTTGATGATAATGGTCTAAGCCCCTGGCTCCAGATATGTCTGAAGCCATTTATGTCATTAAATTCTTGAGTCATCCTAGCATAAAAATTCCATTTCTTGCTGAAAGCAATTAGAGTTGGGTTATCTTGTCACTTGCATCCAAGAAAATGAATGAATGAACTGACAAGCAACTCTACCAGAAAACTTGTATGGCATAAAGGAAAGGAGGGTCCTAGACTAGAACTCAGTGTCTTGCCCTTACTTTGTGATGCTAGGCACATTTCCTAATGTCTGTGAACTTCAGTTTAGAATTCTGACTCATTCATTTTTTTGGCAAATACTTATTGGCATTTGCTGTGCCAGGCACTCTGTTAGGTATTGGCAATGCTGTGGCTGAGATCCTCATGGTTCTTATTCTTGCAAAATTAAGCCCAGTTCTGGAATAATAAAGTTTCCATTTGGTACGCCTGATTTGTCACCGGTAATGACATGGTATGAGGCTCTAACACTTGGAAATTGGTAGTTGTTAGTATTCCTTCAACTCTGTATTAGGTGATATTGTAGAGTTAGCTAGAGAGCAGGCAAGAAATAGGGCATAGTACAATGGGGAGGAGAGTACTACAGACTTCACTGCCTTCCCAGAACTCAAGGTTAGTTGTTAATAATGCTGACGAGCCTAATTACACACATCACTGAGCTAGAAGGTGTACAAGAGCCTGGCATGGACCTAGGTTCAATCCTCTGGGACTTTTAACTCTTCAGAATAGCCATCATGCTACCAAGCATATTTTTTCTGACCTCTGGCAAAGAGACTTTCAGCGTTAAATAAGCTCATCAGTTCCCAAGAATAAGTGTTAGTAATAGAGGTACTTTGGCTCTTGTCAATTCTTGTTATAAATAATTAATTAGAGGAGAGGAGAGGGGGCATGGAGTCAGGAAAGATAGCGGAATGAGATGGACATCATTACCCTAGGTACATATAGGACTGCACATATGGTGTGATGCTGCATCGTGTAAAGCTAGAGAAATGAAAAGTTGTGCTGTATTTGTGTACAATGGATCAAAATGCATTCTGCTGTCATACATATCTAATTAGAATAAATGTATAAAGAAAGAAAATAAAAATACATGGGATAGGCGAGATATTGGGTTTGACCATTTCTGGCAACTTTACCCTGAAACAAACATATTCAATATAGGTAAATTAATTCTTTAAGGAAAATTAAAACTGGTTTGCTTTATTGGGGTGGAAAACAAGGCAAAAGAAGAACATCCCACACCATCCTAAAATAGTCATGGTATTCATAAATTTCAACAACTTTGCATGCTATGAATAAAGTTACATACAGAAAAAAGAAAGAATTAATTATGCCAGCTGCATTTGGATTTTCATTTTCAAAGGAAATTCACGCCTTGGGCTGAAGTGGCAGAATGTAATAAGTCCAGTAAAAGACAGTAGGTTTGGCAGGCCCCAAGAGACCACAATCTTAGTCCACCTTCTATTCTTTAATTTACTCGTTTTTATTAAACATTTATCAAGTGCCCAATAGACACTGAGCTGGGTGTAGCTCAAAGAAGTCAGGATCTGGCCATACTGGAGCAGCAGGTGGCTCATAACTAGGCAATCCCCAAGGGCACTGACCCAGAGAGTCCAATACTCAAACACGAGCCCATTTCCAAATGCCAGGAGGGCCCACCTGACTAAGCCTAGCCAGACGTTAATAAGCCCACCTATAGGAATAAATCCGTTATGTACTTTTCCCTAAATATAGCCCGGTTCCTGCCTGTTCATCACTCTTGTTGCATTAAAAAAAAAAAAAAAAGTTCTTTCAAACTTAATGCTTCTAAACTGGTACGCTTAAAAATGGTCAAAATGGTAACGTATACTTAGAATTTAACAGGTGCTAAATGTTTTAAGGTGAGACAGTTACATTCAAGAATATGATGAAGGGCTCCAGGTGAGGCAGGGGAGACTGCTGGGCCCGGGATCTGACCCCAGCACCAAAAAAAAAAAAAAAAAAAAAAGCCACACACCTCCCTCTGTGACCAGAAGTCAACGGAACGGCAGGGAAATACCTAAAGGTGGGTGGCATTTTGTCTCTGATTAACCCTGCAGTTCTAAATATTTTCTTTGATCCCAAGAAGTCCGCAGATGCCGCCACAAGCCGGACAGCCGTGAAACACCCTTCACCCCGCAGGACACAAGGCAGCACGCCACACGGCCACGCCCCGCGGGGGCCGCCCCTACCTACCCCCGCCCCTTTGCCTTCGGCGCCCGCGAATGACATCAGTCGCGAGCGCCGCCGCGAGTGCCGGCGCCTGCGCTCTGCCTGCCGGCGGCCTCGCGAGCTTGCGGGCCTCGGTGCGGCGCGCCACCTTCCCCTGCGGCCCGGGTCTTTAACTTGAGACGCCCTTGAGCTGAGGACCATGAACCGCAGCCGCCAGGTGACGTGCGTGGCCTGGGTCCGCTGCGGCGTGGCCAAAGAGACGCCTGACAAGGTGAGGCCTGGTCGCTCCGAGATCGCGGGGAGCGGCTTGCCGGGTCAGTGCGGCCTGGGGACCCCGCACCGGCTCTGGCCAGGCTGGTGTGACGGGACCGGCCGAGGCCGGCTTTGGCTTGGTTGTGGTGACCAGAGCCGTGGCTCGGTCGGCCCGGGTTTCCTGGGACTGTCTGGACCTTGCTCCTCCGGGCGGGTGGGTCCAAGCCCAGCCACACCCCCAAATTCCCGGCACGTGGACCTCGCGGAGTGGGAAGGGGCGGGGTGCTGCTTCGAGTGCGAGGTGGCGCCCAACGCTGATTGACAGCAGCCGCACTCCCACCCCAGGGCACTTTCAGGCGGAACCGGGAAGGGAGCACCTGTGACCGGACGCCACTTTGCACTCCCGTGCTTTGTGCTCGGAGGAGTGAGGATGGAAGCTGCCGTGTCGTGAGGCTGGAGTCAAATTAGGAATTCCTTGAATTAACCCAAATGAGGTGCTGATGGGGCGGTGGGGATGAGGAGTGAACGTGACCCATGGATGAAAAGCCGACAGGCGCGCACACTGAGTCTGTAGCGCACATGAAAATTACTTAAGTTATCCATCACATACATACTGAGTGCTTTCTGCAGGCCAGGCCTTGTCCAGGATCCCGAGATACGCGAGAGTCCAGAAAAGGCCCTGCCTTTATGAACTTAATATGTGCGTTTATTGTATGTCAGTGGGAATAGGTTGTAAAACGGGTCGTTTTGAATGTAATTGGACCAAGCCAATGATGACAGATTGGGAAAATGATAGGAAAGTGAGTGATTTGGACAAGGAGTGCACAGGAGTAAGGGGTTGGAATAGTCCCAATAGATGTACATTCCCCCAAAGCAGGGGCTGTTTTACTCAACTTTTTCTCAGGTGTTTGGCTTGCAGCAGACATTCAATACATATTTATAGCATAGGGACAGAAAATGATCTCGCTGAAATTTGTTAAATGTGGAAACAGTTCTTATTAAAGGGAGACATACAGTCTTTCAAATTTTTGAAAACGGTGATTTTCAAATGAGCCTACACATTGGAAACACTTGGGGAACGTCACATATTACAGAGGTCCCACTCTGAAGTATTGAGATTAGAGTATGGCCTGAAATATTTGTTTGTTTGTTTTTGTGAACTCAGGGCCTCACACACACTAGGCAAATGCTGTACCACTGAGCCATAACTCAGCACATGGCCTGAAATTTCTAAAGGGTCCCCCAGGTGATTTTCTGGTGCAGACAAATTTGAAGAGTTTATAGAAGGAAGTAGTTGAATTCTGTGAAATCCACAAAAGGAAAAATTACACAAATAACTATTTTTAAATTAAACTTAAGTGTTTTCTGGAGCTATCCCACAGTGGAATGCCATTCTCAAAGGCTTTTTTGTAGAAAAGGTGATTGATTGGATTCATCATCAGTTCTTAAGCATCACCACATGGGCCACTGAACTATGTACTTAGATATACAATGACATGTCAGCCTCCCTCTTCAAGGAGCTTGTAGTTTGGTAGTGTTCTGTGTATTTTAAAGGTACTAAAGCACTGCTAAGGTGAGGGAATGCCAGTTTCAAAGTAAAGAGAGTGACCTGAGTTTTGAACTCTTATTAGGGTAAAGGCTATCCAGGTAGGAAGTCTGGACCATTTTAGTGGGAAAGGATCTTGATTATAAGGACCTATAAAAACTATTAATGTTAAATTGAAAGAGGCTGGATTGATGTTTGGTTCTCATCTTGATGATGTCTCTTGAAGTTATATTTTACATTTGTTCACAAACTTATTAATTCAAAGACATCTAATGATTTCCTTAAATATGTTATAATGAAATGCTTTCTCTCTTACAGGTAGAGTTAAGTAAAGATGAAGTAAAACGTCTCATTGCTGAAGCAAAGGAAAAGCTACAGTAAGTAGCTTCAAGAATGTTGCTATTTGTGATCAAATCCAGAAGAGATGTGCACTTTAAAAAATAACTTAATGGTCTTGTTATTGGACAGTGCCATTTGGGTGATTGCTTTTTTCTTTTTGTTCTCATAGAGAAGAAGGTGGTAGTGAGGAAGAGGAAATAGGCAATCCTTCAGAAGATGGCATGCAGAGCGCCCGCACCCAGGCACGACCAAGGGAACCCCTAGAGGATGGTGACCCAGAGGATGACCGCACCCTAGATGATGATGAGCTGGCAGAGTACGACCTAGATAAATACGATGAGGACGGTGACCCAGGTGAGAAATCAGTCACTGCTGCTGTTTATAATATATGGGCACAGTGCTCTCTACCATGCTTGTGGTATTCCAAAGCATTACTCCAAGTTTTATTATCTCTGACTTCAATTAAATAATCTGGTCCAAGATTTAGACAGCATGTTTTTAAACTAGTTTAGAAGATAAGTTCTAATCCACTGGTCTAAGGTATAAATCTAAGATCTTTAAAAAAAAAAAAAAAAAGCATCATGTATTTTCTTGCATAAATTAGGTATATTAATCTGTAACCCATTTGTGAGTTCTTGTATTTGGTTATAATGTACTTGAACTTATCTCTTTATACCTTTTCCTCAACTGCATTGACTTTTTTCACAATATGTGCATGTTGAGACAATGTTGTGGGAGACAATTTAAAAATTTTTAAGAGAAGAGAAAAAGGAGAGCAGAAGAGCAGTTCAGGGGGAAATAAAATGAACTGAGAAGACATAAACAGAACTTTATTGCTCTCTTTGGAAAGGAAGTGTGAACGTGTATGTAAAAGGAGCCAGTGGAAGCTGGGACACCGTGCCATGGTGGTCTTCTGGTCTGCTGCCCTGCTTGGCACTAACACCAGATCTTGAGGGTTGAGAAATAAGCATTCGTGTTTGGTGCATGACTTAATACTTTTATTTATTTAATTTCTAAATTTCAGTTGCTCTGCATTTTGGGGACTTGGTGGGACTCTGACAGAATCAGCAACTCCCAAGTTAGAAAATCAGAAAGACATAAATGACCCAACACATAAAAAATCAGTTCAATATGAATGTTATCTTCAGCAAAGCAAAATTACTACCATTTCATGATTACAGAGGAACAACTCTTGAAGGATTTCTAATGAGTGAACAAAAGTTGGTCCTTATATGATGTACAATATGTAAAATCCCAAAGATGAAACCATTTTGATTTCATGTATACTTCCTATTTTGGTACTTTTTAAACTCTGATCCCCTTTTCTTATAAGTTTTTACCTTCCTTAGCTTGGCTTTGTCAATAGCTGGGTGGGAAGGGAATATAAGTAATAATCTGACAGAGTGTCATGCTAAGTGACACTGAGGAGAGTCAAAGAATCTCTGTTTCTCTTCCTCAGAGTCTGGATTTGTGCAACAATTCAGTGACCCAGTATAAAGTTTTATCAATTTTATTAAATATCTAATCTTATGCTAGATTTTCTTGGGATGATAAAGTACATTTAACATAGTACATTAAAAAATTTCATAGCTGTTATAATCAGGCACCAGAAATAACCCCATTGGTGAGAAGTTCACATTGAAAAGTCAAGTAAAATAATATGCTCTCTAGAATTTGCTCTAAAAAACCCCAGAGATTGGGGTGGGGGTAGGGAGAATGGGTAGAAGAAACAACAGTGAGAAAATATTGTTAATTGTCAAAGCTGGGGGATATGCCCTAGGTTTTTTTTTTAATGCACTCTCTCCTTTTGTTCCTGCTTGGAAATTTCTATAATGCCAAGTTTTTTGTTTTAACTGGGCACATATGAGTTAATGGAGAACACTCTAGGGTGCCCAGAGGGCAGTTAGCATGGTGGAGTGCTCGAAGAATAGGACCTGGAGATGGGGTCTGTGCTAGGCACTGGAAGATCAGTAAAGAGGGCAGGTTAAGGAGAAATGAGGAAGTAGGTTCTGGAGAAGATGGAATTGAGTAAAGCAGTGAGTGAAATTTAGCAGACTTGGCCTGGTCCCTCAAACGGGCATGTTCAAATACTGTAGAGGTAACGTTGTGGAGGTAGATGTTAACCTAAGGAAAGGAAAATTTAGTGCAGTGGGGCAAACTGTAGAGAGCCTGTAGTGTCGCAGCAGGGCTGAGCTTGGAAAGTGATTGAGGAGAAGAAACACCGGTAAGTCCATCTGTGTGAGTGAAGATGCAGGAGGTGCGTGGGGAGTTGGTGAAAAGTCTAGAGTGACCAGTTGGGTCTTAGCCTGAATGCCAGGCTTAGGAATCGCTGTTCAGGGGATCATTGAAGATCTTTGAGCACAGGGTGCAGAACAGCTTGGTATGAATCTTGGGGAGTTGCCTGAGGCAGCAATGGAGAATGAGTTGGGAGATGGGGTGAGCCTCTCCCAGGAGAAGCAAGGAACTTCAAGATAAATTAGGTCAGAAGACCTGGTCTGATCACGAGGAATGAGGAGGAAGAAATGGAAGAAAGAATTGCAGAGGCAGCCGGGAATTTTGCATCAGTCCTGTGGGTGCGCTTTCTGTCAGAATTGGTCCCCCGTGTCAGTCTTACTGCTGGTATACCCCTTTTCCTTAAGATAAGTAACCCTGACTTACTCCATCTGTGTCAGATTCTATTGTCATTTATCCCTTTTTCCCATCTAGATGCTCATTCCTCCTTATTCCTCATCCCCTGGCCTTGTGTCCTGTGCACTGCTGTTTACCTCATTTTTAAAATCAGAATATCACCTCCATCCACCAGTGTCACCCAGTGCCGGGGAAGGTGGTGCTAAGGTTTGGACGCTCTGGCTCTAAAGCCTTCATTTTTTTTCAGTGTGTTCCTCTTGGTGTGACCCATCAGCCTTGGGTCGTGGGCCCCACCTCATTAAGGACATGGTGCTATGGGAAGACCTGTCGGTCCTATCTTCTTAAAGTAGCTTCCCTAACAATGAGTGTGTCTTCCTTATCCTGAGTTTTATGTCACTCTGGGTCCACTCTATGTTATATTTGTAGATGTGCCATAAAAGAGTGATTCCGTTTTGAAGTCAGTTTAGTGAAAAGGGCATATAGCATTTTTTTCCCAGATTCATGAGGCACAATAGCATGTCAACAGTTCTGAGAATACTTGCACTACAGCAGCTGCTTACTCTGAAGCCATCCTTTCTCAGTTTTGACCAGACAGCCCTTATTTATTCTGTGTTGATTTTAGTGTTTCAGGGCAATTTATTTCCAGGTCCTCAAAACTACCATTCTGTAGCTCCTTGAATTATGATTGCACCAAGCAAGCTAGAGAGTCTGAGCACAGTTCTAATATTTTATAAAAGGGGCGGGGGTCTTTTGTTGGTTGGTTGGTGTGGTACTGGGAATTGGACATAGAACCTTGCACATGTTAGTCAAAAGCTCTACTACTGAGCCACACCCCAGCCCTTTTGATTTTTTAAGACATGGTCTTAGTAAGTTGGCTTAGGCTAGCCTCAAATTTGTGATCCTCCTACCTCAGCCTCCCAAGTAGCTGAGATTACAGGGTGTACCACCATGTCCAGCAGATTTAATTCTTTAATTCTTTCATTGGAAGATTGTGAATCCCAAGACTATCAGAAACATACTCCAAATCGGGTAGAGAGAGGTGAAGGGAGGGGGGATAGGAAGGGCAGCAGAATACAACAGACACTAGTATTGCTGTATGTATAAGTGTGGCTGTATAACCAATGTGATCCTGCAATCTGTACACGTGGAAAAATAAGAATTCATATTCCATTTGAATCAAATGTATGATATGTCAAGATCATTGTATTATCTTGAGCAACCAATAAAATATATGTATATGTGTGTGTATGTATATATATAAATGGATTTTAAAATTCCTGCAGTTTCCTTTCTGTACTATGGATAATGTGTAGTTAGTATAAAATTGGGTCTAAGTCCACAGATGGATGTCTTCAGAAAACTGTTTTTGTCAAGATGACCGCTTTACTCATTTTGATGAATTCCTTTAGATGCTGAGACGCTTGGTGAATCTCTCCTGGGTCTTACAGTCTATGGGAGTAATGATCAAGATCCTTATGTTACTCTGAAAGATACGGTAAATTTTAACATCACTTTTCTAATTGTGCTCGTGAGTGTCTGAGAAACCTCACTGGATCTCTCCTTTAGCCATTGACTATTTTTTTCTGCCCACTTAGGAACAATATGAGCGTGAAGATTTCTTGATTAAGCCCAGTGACAATCTCATAGTTTGTGGCAGAGCTGAACAGGAACAATGCAATTTGGAGGTACATGGTAAGTGAAATAAGTCCTCCACTAAGAGGTTTTATAAGTAATATTAAAATAACTGTTATAGTTACTGTTATGAAGTCTTAAGTGCTAAATTCTGCTGTACCTCATTTGAGTTAGTTACAGAGTTAAATTACTTGTCCTTTTCCTGGTGGTGTTCTGGGCAATGTGTAGTCTGAGCTGTCACTTTGGTACCTTTGTTTTTTTAGTGGAAATTGGTCCCTAGAAAGTTCTAATAGGGGTTTTTAATCTTCATGTCAATATGTTCACCAGTTTTTTACTTTTCCCCCTTCCCAAGGTAGACATGGCAGCAAAAAAACTTACAAAAGTAACAGAATTTTCTGACCCCATTACCCTGAGGTGACCACTTGCTACCCTGGGTTTTCATTCTTGCCCATCATGGCCCAGACATTTTTATGTGATTACAATTATGCTGGACAGACAGATGTTTATCCTGCTTTTTTGAGAGTTGTTTCAGATATTTGCCTTTGTGAAACACTTTATTTTCTGCATAATAATTCAACAAAGAGAGCCGTAGTTCTCTTTTGGAACCAAAATTTCTTGCTCACCTTCCCAGTTCAGAAATGTTTATACCAAAGCCAGAGGCAAATGTTCTCCAGTATTCTGAGGTGTACAGTGATATGAAGTTTTAAATCAGATGTGGTTTTGTTTTGTTTTGTTTTCTGCAATACTGGGTATTGAACCAGGTATTAGGCTTGCTAGGCTTGCTGTGCTTCACCCCAGCCCCCTGGTTCCAGCTTAGATTTCTGTGACTCTTGGGAATCTTCAGGGCTGCCTGCAGGAAGCATATAGATTAGGCCAATTTTATTCCATGACTCATTGTGACCTTTTTAGGAAATTTTTCTTTAAAAAGGCTTCCGATAGCAGGCACTGTAATGTGAAGTTTTTCTCACTCTTGATATCTTTGAACTGTTGCATATTTCAGATGAGAGCCATGTCATTCAAATTTTTTTTAATATTTTATTTTTTATAGTTGGACACAATACCTTTATTTTATTTATTTACTTTTATGTGGTGCTGAGGATTGAACCCAGGGCCTAAAACGAGCTAGGCGAGCGCTCTACCGCTGAGCCACAACCCCAGCCCCTCGTTCAAATTTTTTAAGACCAATTCTAATTTCAAATAATTAAAATTATAAGATAGTCTTTTGTCATTATTTGTAACATTCTCATCTAAGAACATTGTAGTCATTCCTTTGAATTCAGGATCAGAGTAGTAAGAAGTTAAGTAAGGCAATTGCATTTCCATTCCCCACTAAGTTAGGTCATTATGGATATGCTTTATTATTTGGGTGTGGAGGGTATCTCTGGATTACCCAGCATATTTCTAGTGATTTCAAAAATTATATTCTAAAGCTATGTACCAGGCGTGGTGGTACACACCCATGAGCCCAGCGGCTCGGGAGGTTGAGGCAGCAGGATCATCAGGATCATGGGTTCAAAGCCAGCCTCAGCAATGGCAAGGCGCTGAGCAACTCATTGAGACCCTCTCTCTAAATAAAATAGAAAATAGGGCTGGGATGTGGCTGCGTGGTTAAGTGCCCCTGAGTTCAATCCCCAGAACATAAATAAATAAATAAATAAAGCTGATCTATTTGTTGCCCTGATGTGGTTAAAAGAAGAATGTGTTTTAAAGTATCATCACCAGTTTTATTTAAGATGTAAGATAAGTACATTGGCCATGCTTGAGTCTTTTATAGGACCATAGTCTGATCATTTTGAACCTGTATTCTCATGGTAGACAGATGTGATAGAACTTCACGTAGAATCTGCTAATCCCACACCCATTTCAGAAGCAGAGGCCCAAGGAATTAAAAAAAAAAAAAAAAAAATCCACAGCTTATTTTATGGTCTACTTCTTTCTTAACAAAAAGCAAGATTCTGTAGGAGGTGGACATTCTGATATCTAGTGTTTCATTATATAATTTTTTTTTTAATCTTTATTTTTATTTATTGATATGTGGTGCTGAGGATTGAACCCAGCGCCTCACACGTGTGAGGCGAGTGCTCTACCGCTGAGCCACAATCCCAGCCCCTCATTATATAATTTTTAAAAGACTTCCTAGTTATGGATTTTAACAGTTTTGGTTTTGCTGCTTAACTTTATAACAATGTTAAAGAGCTTTTTTTTTTTTTTAGTTGTTGATGGACCTTTATTTTATTTATTTGTATATGGTGCTGAGAATCGTACCCAGTGCCTCACATGCTGGGCAAGCACACTACCACTGAGCCATCATCCCGGCCTCTAAAGAGCTAATTTTGTTGGTTGCCATATTCCAATAGGAGGTCTTCATAAGTTTTGTTTACATTGTTGGTCTTTATAAACTTCTGAATATTGTATTTCCGACTATGAATTATTTTTCCCCAGTGTGGTCCTTTGTTTTTTCTGACTTATAATCAATCAGTTAGACATTTAAGAAAATCAAATAAGTGCTCCTGAAGGATCCATCATGAATGTTTGTTTTCTGTCATGAATGAACTAGAAGACAAGACCATTTACCTGGCAGGCATGTGGGTGGGGGACTGTGGGTGTCCGTGTTCCGCTATGGGGCATGCTAGGTAATGGGCAGATATTAGACGTGAATAATTTTCACCTGGCAATATTGACTATGGATCTCCTTTTAATGTCATCCAATGTGTCTCTAGTCGGGAAAGTGTTCTTTTTGTGGGTATAATTTCTGATGACTTACTCTGGTGCAGTAACTTTTTTTTCCCAATCTTTTCAGTTTATAATCAAGAAGAAGACTCTTTCTATGTACACCATGATATACTTTTGTCTGCATATCCTCTCAGTGTGGAATGGCTGAATTTTGATCCCAACCCAGATGATTCTACTGGTAACTGGAAAACTTAAGGTTGCCCTCTGGTCCCTAGCCCTGTTGCATTTTCCTAGCTAATAAACTGTTTTCTGTATGTGTGTATTCAGAATTATTGCTGATACGAAGTTGCTGTTATTTTCTGAAGTTATGGTTATGAAGTCCTTAACACAGCAATGGTTAATTTCTTGGGGTATGTCTATCTTCAGACTTTAGCTCCACTATAGCCTGAGGGACAAAGCTTGAAGCTTTTTAGACTGTAGAACTATTGAGGTCCCATAAAAAAACCAATATAAAGTGGTAAAATGTGTATGTTACCTGCTAGAGTTTAGTGGCATGATCTGTTTCACAAACATGAGGTAAAACTAAAATGAAGAGGCTTGTCCCTAATTGGTTTCTTATCTTGGCCTTTTTGGCCACATCCGCACCCTATTATGTGCTCTGGTAGTACTTCTTAAAAGAGAGGTAAATGCTGACAATACCGACATCATCTCTCTTGTTTGTAAGGCCTTTTCACATTCATGAACCGACCTGACCCTCATCCTTACATCAGCCCATGAGGAAGGAAGGGTGTTGGTGGGCCTCAGTTATCCCCACTGTGTTGGTGAGGACACTGAAGCCAAACAAGGCACCTTCATGACTCAAATACCAGTCCTAAAACCAGCAGCACAACATTGGTATCACCTGGGAGCTGTTAGAGATGCAGACTCAGGCCCGCTCAAGGTCACCTGAAATATAGTCTGGATTTTAACAACTTTTAGATGGTGCATATAGAAGTTTGAGAGTACCTGCTCTAAGCCATTGCTCACTTAACCTACAATGTAAAATATTTGCTTAGAAGTTATTTTTGTCTTTTTTTTTCTCTTTGTAATCACAAACACATTGTTTCTTCCTGCAGGAAATTACATTGCTGTGGGAAACATGACCCCTGTTATTGAAGTATGGGACCTTGATATAGTGGACTCTTTAGAGCCCGTCTTCACACTCGGGAGTAAACTTTCAAAAAAGAAGAAAAAGAAAGGAAAGAAGGTAAAAAGTTAGTAAATACTTTAAAAACAAATGCAGAGAAGTTTATTGGAGAATATAAGAACATACTTTTTCAATCAGATATTCTTGTTGGAATAAGACAGGTAGTTATGAAGGTATTATAATTTCTACTTTCAAAAACCCCATCCAGGGAAAACATTTGTTTGCATAAAACCTCCAGTGTCATATTATTTCCCACCCAAAATATGGCTCAGGTTGTGATTCTTCCTCGTATATAATAACTATTCATACTAATATGCTAGTTTTGCACTTTTTAAAAGTTTCTGTTTAGCCTCTTATGTGTTGTATTCTAAATATCCATGTATTAATTCCTGTTGTATTTTAAATCGTTAGGTTTGGGGGAGGCAAGTGGCAATATTGCTGTTTGTAGGATTAGTGCCTGCATTACGTGCTCATGTTTCTTCCCTGTAAAGAACCCTTATCCTAGGTATCAATGGCAATAGGCAGTCAAAATGTTTAGTTCTTCAAGCAGGTGTGTGTTACAGCAGAACAATAATCTTACGATCTAAAGCATCTTGCAAATTAATATATCAATTTTATGGAGGGGAGGCTTTTAATACAAAAAGTAACTAAAACAATTATTGCAGAGTTCCTCTACAGAAGGGCATACTGATGCTGTCCTTGACCTTTCATGGAACAAGCTCATCAGGTAAAAAGAAATGGCACTTGCTTGACTGTCAGATCTGACCCTGGTGACTTGACACCTGTCCCTGTCTCTGCTGGGTGTGTCGTGGGCCTCTGTTTCCACCCCCCTCGCTGTGGTGTCAGGGCAGCAGCTCTGTGTTCTGTCTGTGCATCCCCCACGTGACCCGCCGCTTCTCACCAGGGAGCTTCCTGCATGTTGTGACGTGGCTCTCTCTGCTCCCCAACACTGGAAAGACGGCATGTAGCATGGTGACAGTGGGACAATGGGCTTTTTCACAGAAGACATTTTTCTTACTTCATTTTTCATATCTCTACTGCTTGCTTTTTTTTTTTTTTTTTTCTTTAAAATATCCATAACATAAAATTACCACTTAAACCACTCTAAGTTTTGGTGACTTTTTGGACATTCACATTGCTGTGCAACCATCACCACATCCATCTCTAGAACTTTTTCATCTTCCCAAACTAAAACTCTGAACCCTATAAACACTTCAACAATAACTTCCTGTGTCCCCTTTCTCCCAGCCTTGACAGCCACCCTTCCATTTTCTGTCTCTATGAATATGATTATTCTAAACACCTCACATGAACATACAGTATTTGTCTTTTTGAAACTGGCTTACTTCACTCAGCATAAAGTCTTCCAGGTTCATACATGTTGTTATTCAAGTCAGTTTCCTTCTTTAAGGCCGACTTATATTCCATTGTGTTTTAATACTACATTTGTTAATCCATTCATCTGCAGACTCTTGGGTTGCTTCCATCTTTTTGCTATTGCAAATAATGCTGCTGTGAATGTAGATGTACAGAATCTCAAGTCCCTGTTTTCAGTGCATTTGGACATGTCCCCAGAAGTATTGCTAGATCATATCATAGTTCTAATTTTTTGAGGAACTACTATACCATTCCATATCAGTTACACCATATTATATTCCTACCAGCGGTACACATGGAGTCCAGTTTCTCTCTTTCCTTCCAACATTTATTTTCTATTTTTTGATACTAAGAAGTATGAAGTTTTTTTGTTTTTGAGAAAGGGTCTCACTTGAACTGCCCGGGCTGACCTCAGACTTGTGCTTCTCCTGCCTCAGCCTCTTGAGTCCCTGGGATTATAGGCATGTGCCACCATGCCTGACCTTTGTTGTGATTCTGATTTTCGGTTCTCAAGGATTAGTGATATTGAGCATCTTTTGGTCACTGTATTTAATCTTCCTTGTAAGAAATGTCTGTTCAAGTCCTTTGTCCGTCTTCTGAGTTGTTTGAGTTCTTTACATATTCTGGATATTAATGCCTAATCAGAAATATTGTCTTCAGTTCTATAGGTTATCTTTTTGTTTTCTTTATAGAATACTTTCCAGCACAAGTGTTTCATGTCAGTGATGTCCAGCTTATTTTTGTTTCTGCTTTTGGTGCTGTATGTAAAAAACCATTGCCTAACCTGGCATCATGAAGGTTCATACCTGTGCTCTCAGAAGAACACTTCTGAGAGTTTCATAGCATTAGCTCTTAACACTTAAACTTGTGGTCCATTTTGAGTTATTCTTTCATTTGTGATGTGAGGTGTCGGGGCCTAACTTTTGAATGCGGATATGCGTTGTCCCTGATCCATGTGTTGAAAAGACCATTCTTTTGAGCATTAATTATCTTGTCACTTTTGTCAAAAATTCTATCCTTTTAACGCATAGATCTGTCCAAATGTCAGTAACAGACCACCATAACTTTTTAAGTTTTGAAATCTGGAAGTATGAGTTTCCCAACTTTGCTCTTAAGATTTTTCGGTTATTATGGGTTATTATTTGCATTATCCCATGAATTTTAAAATCAGTTTGTTACTTTCTGCCAAAAAAAAAAAAAAAGTCAGCTGGGATTTTGATTTTGAAAGGGACTGATGTGATTCATTCTGTAGATCAGCTTATAGCTCAGTCGGTCGATGCCCTGTTTCCATCTTAACCAATATTCAGTCTGCAGTACAGGAGCAGGGGATCTTCCGTGTAATTAGACTGGCTTTCATTTCTTATGATAATCTTTGGTAGTTCGCAGTGTATTGTTAGTTGATGGTATATAAATTGCATTTCTTTTGTTAAACTTATTTTATTCATTTTGATGCTATTTAAATTGATTCCTTTTCTTAATTTAATGCTCTGATTTTTAGAAGATCATATCTAATTTATGTGTTCCCTGTCTCAGAAATGTGCTGGCAAGTGCGTCAGCTGACAGCACAGTAATTTTGTGGGATATGTCCGTGGGGAAACCAGCAGCTAGCCTCGCTGTGCACACAGACAAGGTATGGTGACTGAGTGAATGAAGAGGATTCTCAAAAATCTGGGGCATTTACATGTTTTTTGGTTTACAAAGTGCTTCACTGTTATCTCATGGGATCTTCACAAAGCTCTCTGCAGCAGGTATAATGTCATCTCAGAGATGTAGAAATGGGTCCAGGAAGGTATAGTGACTGGGAATATTAGTGCCCTATAACATGTTTACAGAGGATCCTAAAAAGGGGCTGGGATTTCAGTCAGCGTAATAGAACAGCACGTGACAGATCATGACTGCACTGGGCTCTGTAGGACTTTGAAGCCGGTATAGTTGGCCAGATACATTGGACCATTCACCCTTTTTCTTCTGAATATCTTTTAACATTCAAGGGACACACACACACACACACACATTCTCATATATAACAAACGTTTTGGGAATACTACATTATATCTTTAAGTGCTGGCCTTTATTTGGGAATATAGTTTGCCAAACATTTGTTCCCTTTTTTGGCACCGGGAATTGAACTCAGGGCACTTTACCACTGAGCCACATCCCCAGCCCTTGTTTAATTTTTTATTTTGAGACAGTCTTGCTAAGTTGCTTAGGGCCTTGCTGAGTTGCTAAAGCTGGCCTTTAACTTGTGATCCTCCTACCTCAGCCTCCCAAGCCACCGGGATTCAGGTGTGCACCACCAAGTCAAGCCACAGATTTATGTTTCTTTATACACTACTAATTTTGAAGTGAATAATTTATAGAAATCAGTTCTTACACGTTAGGTAATGGTACCAAAAATAAAGACAGATACACAAATCTCTTCATTTATCTTTCCTCCCCTTAGGTCCAGACTCTGCAGTTTCATCCATTTGAAGCACAGACTCTAATTTCTGGATCATATGATAAGTAAGAAAGCACTTCAAGAATTATTGCTGCTGTTTTTATCCTCTTGAACTAATTCAAAAAGTATCCCTTGATACCCAGACTGAATGTACACACTAGTGAGGCGCCTACTTTCCTTTTCATTATGGCCCTTCCAGTCTAAGGATGTGTGGTTTTATCATAATAATGTAGCTATAGGAGTTTGTAACTTCAATTTTTTAAGCATGTACAGGTTAGCCATTATTATGAAACAGACATCCCCAAATTCAGTTACTTTCCATAATAACCATTTACCCTTTCTGCCTGTGTGAGGTGGGGCAGTGTGGGCTGAAGTCAGCTGGCCGTTCTGCCTGCAGTAGGCTAGGCCAGCAGGCTAACCCACACGCGTTCTCATGACGAGGTCGGACGTACAAGAGATACCAAGACCTCTGAAGATGTAGGTTGAGAACTAGTGCCCTGTCTTGTTTTCTTGACCAAAATAGATTACATGGAGTGGGGGATGTTCACTGCCTTTATGAGGAATGCCCACATCACGGGCAGAATTCATGGAAGTGGGAGGTTGGGGACTGAGAGACCCTGCAGGCAACCCAGGAGCCTCCTTTGTGCAGACTGGGTCTGAAGGTGGGAAGTGCAGCAGTAGAATCACCAACGTATTTGATTCCTTTCCTTTGAAGAGTGGTACGTTGACATTTCTTATGTGTCCTTCACTCAAAATTACAAAAGGGTATCCCTCGGCTCCCCCAATATAGTAACCTGATTGGGAAGAGCATCTGCAGCTAAGACATGAGTTATGTGGCTCTGGGCTCTACCCAAGAAAGGGTATTTTAGAAATCGTCCTAAAGGGTATTTTTGAATTTTTGGAAGTAGGATTCATCTGGTAAGTGTTATAAAGTAAAGCCACTGTTACATCAGAGCCACCAGTACCTTCAAGTGGCAAGACCAGATGTGTGGTCTTGCCACTTGAAGGTACCTATTAGGGAAAATCAACTCATTTTTTCCTACTTTTAGAACCTTAAAACAGGCTTTAAATAATGGGCTTTTGACTTCACACTCTGTTCTGTTAACCATGTTATTAAAAGTCAATATCCGCTAGGCATGATAGTTGCACACCTGTCCCCAGCTGAGCACGGAGAATGTCAAGTTCAGGCTAACCTGGGCAATGTAGAGAGGCTCTGTCTTGAGAAGTAAATAAATTAAAATACTAATCTAAGAACTCTTCAAACTCTAACCGCCTAAATGTGTCCAGGTCGGTGGCTCTGTATGACTGCCGAAGTCCAGACGAAAGCCATCGGATGTGGCGATTCAGTGGGCAGATTGAGAGAGTGACTTGGAATCACTTTTCACCTTGTCATTTTTTGGTAAGAATGTGAATGTTACTGTTGTGATTTTCTAGGTTTCTAACAGCTTATTTTCCTTAACCCTATTGTAGAGAAATTCTCTGAAAATCCTTTTCTGTGTTAACTGTGAAGGAAGTGTTTAAGGTTGAAAAAACAAGTTTGGGGTTGTTTTTATTTGTTTTAAACAAGAGAATGGCTCAGCCACAAAAGCATTAGTGCACATGTGAATGATTTTGCTAATTGCCAACCACTCAAAAAGTGTACCGCATCTTATTTTTACTTACTGATTTTGATCACTTTTTTAGTTTTTTTTTTTTTAATATTAGGCATAGTTAATATTCCTTATTTTTTAATGGTAAAATCAGTCCAGGAAGATATTCTTTACTTATTCATACTTAAATGGAGTTCCAGTGATGAGAATGCTAGCAGCTTTCAGTTATAACCCTGTATCCCAAATAGGAAAAAAGTATAAGACCCTTCAATAAACACCCTTACTGTATGAGGGAGGATAGTTTTCCACATAACATCAAGTGATTCCACCAACATTTGCATCCAGGATAAATAAAATCCCAACTTTCCTCCATAAGGGAATATTAATTAAGTTGTGATACCTTCATGTTTCCCAATTTCCCTAAATAATGAAAAGGAAGTAAAGTGTTTTAAAGAGCCACTGGGAGGCTGAGGCAGGAAGGTTGCAATTTTGAGACCAGCCTGGGCAATATAATGAGACCCCATCTCAAATAAGTACTGTTTTAAAAAATAACTTTCTTGGGGCTGGGGTTTAGCTCAGTGGTAGAGCACTTGCCTAGCATGCATGAGGCACTGGGTTCGATCCTCAGCACCACATAAAAATAAACAAATAAAATAAAGGTATTCTATCCATCTACAACTACAAAAACAAATTTTTTTTAAATAACTTTCTTAAAAGATGTGGACACTTTTAATAAGTTTCCTGAAGTAATAATTCTGAGAATCGTCTCAACTCTGCACCTTGAGTACATGTAGATCCCAGCTAAGCTGCCTGCCTGAAGCCAGATGTTAGTTACCAGGAGTGAAGCCACAGCTGTATTGGATACGGTATTGTACACTGGCCTTCAGCAGTCAGGCGCAGATCGTTCCTGAGGTTATTTGATGGCAGATGGTCATAGATGCTAAAGTCACAAAAATGTAGGGAAGTGAGAGGTGATAAAATGGTCACCTCCTTCCTCTTCAGTTTTTGGCCCTGTCTCCAGCCTTCAAGACTGCCTCAGTTGTCCATCCTCCTTTCCTCCCTTGGCCTGTATATAGGCTTGGTTTCTCACCCGGTCTTTTTTTTTTTTAATCTGTTTATTTTTATTTTTTAATGTGGCTGCTAGAAAATTTTAAATTACATACATGGCTTAACATTATTTTTATATCATAGCAGTGCTATAGGATAGAAAAATATATGTTAATATCAACCCCACATTAAATTTTATGTTATGATGACATTAGAAATAACATCTAATATAGTCTCACAAGTTTCCCAAGTTTAAAAATCACACACACCTGTACTCTTATAAACAAAACCAAAAAAGACTGATTATAATCGTCTTCATCATCATCTTTATACTAGTACCTGCAGTACACTTAGGTCTGAGTCTACAAATGCCTGCTCTTGACTGAGTACCTGGTTCCTCCATTTCCTCCTTGCTGGAGAGAGCAGCAGTCCACCTGGTTTGCCTTTCTGCCCTTCCTGTTGAACCGCTTTGCCACCATACTGATCGCACTTTCTTCAGAAGCCATTTCCTTGTTTGCCTGATCTCTAGTCCTGATTCTGTGAGCTCCTCCCCAGCTGTACTTTGAGTAATCTCTGCTCCCAGCCCTGCTTTTAGACTTACACTCAAGGTCTAGCCCTCTGCCCTGATGGGTGTGACTGACCCCTCTGTGCTCCCACAGCTCTGTCACCATTCCATCCACTCACCAGAGCTTTGTGTTCCCAACTCACTGCCATGGGGTCAGTGCAGTGTACCTAGTCCATATGGGTGTAAACTGGCTCAGCTAAAAGGAAGTTCTTTGTGTCCATGTTAATTCTCCACAGGTGAGATATGAAACTGATTTCCACTGTGATTTATGCTACTTAACCATTGCTAATTTTATTGGCATCCTCTTTACTCTTTGCAGGCCAGTACAGATGATGGCTTTGTATACAATTTGGATGCACGTTCAGATAAGCCAGTTTTTACACTCAATGCACACAATGATGAAATCTCTGGTGAGCAAGAATATTGTCTTTAATTTCCATAAACTCAGGATGAAGTAAATCTGAATTTCAAAGTTAGAAACTCTGAACTAATCGTTATCTTCCTTTAGGTCTTGATCTCAGCAGTCAAATCAAGGGCTGTCTTGTAACAGCTTCAGCAGACAAATATGTGAAGATTTGGGACATATTGGGAGATAGGCCAAGTCTGGTTCATTCCAGGGACATGAAAATGGTAAGAATTTCCTGGGCATCTTTATTTCCTGTTACTCTGATTCTTGCTTATCTTTTTCTTGGAATCACTGCATTAAAGAATGTATTGAAGTTATTGAGCTTTAAGTTTTCTAGAAGTTAAATGACTTAGGAAAGTTCTGGGAAATTCAGTGATTATTTTGGTTCCCTTTCTAATTCACATGATTATCAGTCACTTAGTAAGACCACAAAGGATGGGGAGAGGACACAGACAAGTGAAGTGGCTATTATTTTACCCTAAAATCAGGAATCTTTGACCTTAAGACAGCAGAGCTCTTGGCGTCAGTGTATTCATCTCTCACTACCTCGCCACATAACTAGCTCTGAATGCACTGAAGTTGATACGTCGTAGTAGTAGTAAAGACTTCTGAAATAACCAGTATTCTTTGAACAAATATTAAGCACATCCCATGTGCAAGGCACTGTTATTTAGACTGTACATAGAACACTACACAGCTATTAGAAATCATGTGTGTGGGGGGGTATTAACTAATGGTAAGGCAGGTTTCATAGTATCACTTTAAGTATATTTTATAGCATCATGCATATTTCCAAATGCTTGATTATTTAAGTCTCTATATTTAAGTATATTACATCCCAGAATATGAAGTTGCTGTCTTCCTATTTTTCTTATTCATATTTCCTATAATGCATATGTATTATCTAGTAATATAAAAGTGAAAACATCACAAACTCAAAAATAACTTGAGGGCAAGGGATGTACCTCGGTGGTTGAACAAGTGAGGCCCAGCGATGCAAAGGAAAAAAGATCTAAGTGACCTGTGGTATTAGTTTTGTTGTTTGAAAGGAGAGCTTCTGGATCTTAGTGGATTCGATGTCTTAGGAAATCACCCCTAGGATAATGAAGAATCTGGCTGCTAGGGCGAGAGCCCACCTCCACGGCACCGCCTTCCTGCTGCACCCTTCCTGCTCTGACAGGCAGCACCCCTCCCCTCGGGACTGCAGGCCACCTTTGTGGTGGTAATGTGGCTGCACCTGCTCACACTGTGGGACCTTAGAGAGACAAGGGCTCCACTGACGTGCTTTTCTTTCTCCCTAGGGAGTTCTCTTCTGTTCTTCATGCTGTCCTGATCTGCCATTCATTTACGCCTTTGGAGGTCAGAAAGAAGGGCTTCGAGTCTGGGATATAAGCACCGTCTCTTCAGGTAAGAATCTGCATTTTCTCACTCTGAGCTCTGTGAATACCAACCCAGGATGCTGCCGGAACCCATGAGGGAGATTGAGTGTCATCCTTGGTGTGGTCTCCTTTGGAATGTTCGTGCCCACAAATACGTTTGTTTTCACACTTTTTAGTTTTGTTTTCCTAGGGTTTTGAGTGGGGGGGAACTATGTATTGAACCCAGGGGTTCTTTACCACTCAGTAATCCCCAGCCCTTTTATTTTTTGAGACAGGGTCTGCCTAAGTTGCCTAGGCTGATCTTGAATTTGTTATCCTCCTTCCTTCCTCAGCCTCACAAGTAGCTTGGATTTCAGACATGCAGCACTGTCCCCGACTCAAATGTAGAATTTTTTTTTTTTTTTGGTACCAGGGATTGACCCCAGGGATGCTCTACATAGAGCCACATCCTCAGCCCTTTTTTTTTTTTTTTTTACTTTGAGATAGGATCTTGCTAAATTGCTGAGGCTGACCTTGAATTTAGGATCCTCCTGCCTAGATGTGCATTACCACACTCAGCTCACATGTAGATTATTTTTAAATATTTTAAAACCAGAAGATCTGGGAAAGCTGGAAGGAAATGTAGCATGGTCTACCAATGTGACTCAATCTGCCCTTTTCTCAAGTACTATCTATAAGATTGTTTTCCTAAAGAGACCAGTCCCTGTCCTTCAGGAGATCCTATTTGCTTTTTTTTATTATTCTGTGTCCTAGACACGTAGAGATACTGTGTCCCCGCTATAAGATTCCTGAATCTTTCTTTCCATGCAGAAGGATCGTGAGATTTCTCTCCGGGTTATTCTGATAAGAATTTACATTTAAGGAATCCTAAATGCCAAAAGTTCTCAACTGGTCATGATATAGAAAAAGAGGAAAGAAAACAGGAAACAATGAGAAGTAGAATAAGGGAAGGACAGTCACTGTTAGAAGGGATGGGACAGCCATTATCCAAACATTCTAGGTTAATACAAGGCAAGCTGAAGTAAAGTACAAAAAATATTTTTTAAAAAAATCAAACTATTTGCTTTAAAGTTAAAGCATATTACCTTTAACTTCTAAGTTATTTACTTAGTAAATCAGAAAGTAAGTTACCCTGCCACACACCCAGGTACTAAGAATTAAACCCAGGGGTGAGCTACACCTGCAGCCATTTTTGTTGACATTGATTTTTGATGCTGAGGATCAATCCCAGGGACTTGCACATGTGAGGCAAGTGCTCTACCACAACTATATCCCCAGCCCTTCCCCACCTTTTTTTTTTTTTTTTAAAGAGACAGGATCTTGCTAATAAGTTGCTGAGGCTGGCCTCAAACTGGCAATCCTCTTGCCTTAGCCCCCCAACAGCTGGGATTATAGGAATGTACCATCACACCAAGCATAGGGTAGAAATTCTGTTATGAAAATATATTCAGTACTTTCTAGCCGGGCACAGTGGCTCACACTGTAATTCAGCCTACTCAGGAGGTTGTGGCAGGCATGGAGGGAGGGGATATCCACCCAAAACAGGATTTTATTGCTTATTTCTATATCTTAGTCTCTTTTTGTATTATAGACTTAATTTCCTGATCTGGTGGTTTCTTAACTGTTGATTTGTGTTTTAGTAAACGAAGCATTTGGAAGGCGAGAGAGGCTCGTTCTCAGCAATGCAAGAAGCTCATCTATTAGTGGCCCTTTTGGGAGCAGGAGCTCGCACACGCCAATGGAGTCTTAATGAACATCATAAAGTGGCCTCAAAATGTTCCACATTGTGGGGTTCAGCTCAGTGGCAGAGCGCCACCTAGCATGCGCAAGGCCCTGAGTTCAGTCTCAGCCCTGAAAAAGAAAGAAAAGGAAAAAAAAAATGTTCCACATGCAGCTAGAGACATATAGTGATGGAAACAAGATTGGTTGCCTACTGCCTCACGTCCCTTTGTGCAGCTGTAGTGGCAATACAGAGCAGGTCTTTGTGCTTGCCTCCAGGTGGGTGGTGTATGGGGTTATTGTTGGATTTCTTGAAAATGATAATAAAAAAGGTTTCTAAGAACTTATTCCCTTAGGGAAGAATGAAGGAACTTTGGTTTGTATAGAGGAGAGAGGTGGGGTTGTGGGGACGGGAAGGACAGTAGAATGAGACACATTACCACCCTACATACATGTAGGATTACATTAGTGGAGTGACTCTGCACCACGTACAGCATGTCAGAATGCATTCTACTGTAAAATAAATTAAGTTTAAAAACACAAAAAACTAATTCCTTAAACATGACATCTGTTGCAGGAAATCTAGGTTAGTGAATTAGGTAGTAACTTACGAGTTCTGTGGCTGTTAAGTCAGGATGTGCTGGGTTGCCCAAGGCTGGCTCTGAACACCTGGGCTCAAGTGATCCTCCTGCCTCAGTCTCTTGAGTAGCTGGAGTTTCAGGCGCACACCAGGCCTCAGAATTTTAAGAGGGGAAAAGCCTGTGGTTTTAACAGATGATGACCTAGGCCTGGAAAGGCAGTGATTTGGCCAAGATCGCACAAGCCATGAGCAGAGGCAGACATCCCAGAGACTCCACTTCTCTGACTATTGATTGAATGCTCATGACTTTAAAATGTTCTCGGTCCTAAAGCCACGTGCCATTTTTTCCAGAATGTCCAAGAGAAGAGGCAGACTGTTTATTCTCAGATGTTGAATGCCCTTCAGTCTCTGTGCCTTGTGCTGTACAAGGGAAGAGTCCGTGTGAATAGGAAAGGTTTCTTTGCTCTCCACCCAGTGGAACAGTTCTGATTACAGACTGTCTTCAAGTGTGAATGCTCAGAGGCAGCAAAAATCAATTTGATTTATGAGATCCAACCCTAACTTGGTAGAGCTGCTGTCAGTGAATCACTGTCATCTCCTGTGTAACTTACGAAGGTGACGTGAATGTCATTCCAGTTTCAGACACTGGCATGAAGTTGTTGCAACTTGGATTCACCAAAACACCTCTGGAATAGCAGATTGAAGGCTGGATTAACTATTTCTTTGTTTTGATTTGGCTTTTAATCCAATATCAAAACAAACCCTAGATTATTCAAAATTAATGAGAGCAATAACAGGTAATAAGATTTTCAATAATAAAGTTCCCAACAAAAAGCCCAGAACTAATGGCTTCACTGCTGAGTTTTACCAGAATTAAAGGGGAAGGAACTCTTACAAACTCACTCTGTGAGGCCAGCAGTACCATAAAAAAAACTGACAAGAATACATTAAAAAAACTGTAGACCAATGTGTCTGACGAACATGGAGGCAAAAGCCTTCAGAACATTAGGAGACAATTCAAGTGCACATCAAAGTGACCGTCACCATAAAGGTGGTATCATTCCAGGGATGAAGGCTGGTTGAACATATGCAAATCAATAAAAGGAATACATTACATCAATAGAATGCAGGATTAAAAATCTCATCAATAGATGTAGAAAAAGCATTTCATAAAACTCAGCAAGCTTTGTGATAAGACCCTGAACAAATTAGATAGAGAAGGATCGTACCTCAATGTAATAAAGGCTGCATGTGACAGGCTCCCAGCCAACAACATATTGAATTGGGGGGGGGGGGGGGGGGGGGGCGGGTGCGAAATCTGTTTCCTCTAAGAACAAGATAAGGGTGTCTACTCTCACCACTCTGAATACAGTACTAGAACTAGGCAAGTGAAGGCCATAGATAAGGAGGAAGTCAAATTATCTCTGCTAATGCTAAGATTCCATACACAGAAAAGCCAAAAGACAGAACTGATAAATGAATTTAGTGAAGCAGCAGAATACAAAATCAGTAGTTTTTCTTCACACCAAGAAAGCAGTCCCAATCACAGTAGCCACACAGAAATGCCTAAGAATAAACGAAGTGACAGGCCTCTACAGTGAAAATGACAAAACACTGATAAAAGAAATTATAAATATTGTTAAGATGTCCATACTACTTAAAGCAATCAACAGATTGAGTACAATTCATATCAAAATAGCAATGAAATTCTTCAGAGAACTAGGAAAAAAACAACCCTAGAATTCATGTGGAAGCACAGAAGACCTCAGGTAGCCAAAGCAATGGGCAGAAAGCAAACTGGAGGCATCACAATACCTGATTTGAGACACACCACAGAGCCAGGCTGCCAATAGAACCAGACAGTGGGACAGTAGAGAGAACCCAGAGAGGAACCCTCACGTCTCCAGCCGACTGTTCTGACAGCCAACAACAGTGGAGAACGGGCAGCCTCTCCAATGAGTGGTGCTTGGAGAACCAGATATCCACATGCAGAAAGACAAAACGTGGCCCCACTCTCACCCTCTGTAACAGTCAAAACGGATCAAAGCCCTCATGTAAGATTTGAAATTACTGTAGGAAAGTGGGAAACACGATATTGGTACAGTGATTTTCTGTAGGATTCTAAAAGCAGAGAAAACAATTGGTAATAGGATTTGTCAAACTAAAAAACTGCACAAGAAAGGGAACAGCGAAGAAGCAATCTAAAGAATTTGGAAAAAAAAAAAATATTTGCCAGCTATTCCTATGGCAGGGTTATATCATGAACATATATACATAAAGAACTAAAAAGCAGATAATCCAGTTTTTAAATGGGCAAATGATTGGAATCACCATTTCTCAAAAGATACATATATGAAAAATGTTCAATATCAGTAGCCATCAGGAAAATGTAAATCAAAACTACAATAAGATACAATTTCAGCCCAGTTAGAATGGCTGTAATCAAAAAACAACAACAAATGATGGTGAGGATGTGGAGAAAAAGTAATTCTTAAAAACAACTGGTGGGACTAAGGAAAACAATGTGGAAGTTCCTCAGAATGCTAAAAATAAGCTGTGTGCACTGGTGCATGCCTGTAATCACAGCAACTCAGGAGGCTGAGGCAGGAGGATCATAAGTTTGAGGCCAGCCACAGCAACTTAGCAAGACCCTGTCTCACAAAAAATATAAAAAAGAGCTCCATGGTAAAGCATCCCTGGGTTCAATCCCAAATCCAAAAAATAAAATAAAAGAGCTAAAAAATATGGGCTGAGGTTGTGGCTCAGCGGTAGAGTGCTCGCCTCGCATATGTCAGGCCCTGGGTTCAATCCTCAGCCCCACATAAAAATAAATAAGTGAAATAAAGTTATTGTGTCCAACCACAACTAAAAAATAAATATAAAAAAGTTAAAAATAATGATCTAATCCCACTCCTGTCTATATATCCAAAAGAAATGAAATCTGCATACAAAAAAAAAAAAAAAAGCTACATGCCCATTTTTATTATTGCACTATCCACAAAAGCCAAGATTTAGACTGGATGTAGCTGCCTGTCAACAGAAGAATGGACAAGAAAAATTTTATATATACATGTGTGCGTGCACAGTAAAATTCTGTGATTTGCAGCATAACAGATGGAACTGGAGGATATCCTCTTAAGTGAATAAGCAACAGAAATAAAAGTTTTCATGAGGAAACTAAAGGAGAAAAGTTGACCTGAAAGTAGAATAGTGACTATTAGGGACCAGGAAATTTCTGGTAGGCAGGAGTGGATATGAGCAATGCACATTGTGTACATGTAAGGAAATACTACAGTGAATCTCATGTGTACAATTAATGTGTTAATAAAATAATAAAAATGACATCTAGAGGGGGATACATCTCTGATCAGTTTAAAGTCAATAGTTCATTTTTTCTCAAAATCTGCTGTGTTCTATAAAGAATAATAGCTCTTGGCCAGGCACAGTGGGGCACAACTGTAACCCTAGATACTCAGGAGGCTGAGAGGGAAGGATCACAGCTAGGCAACTTAGCAAGACCCATCTCAAAAGGGGCTAGGAGGGACTAGGGATGTAGCCCAGTGCTTGCCTAACATGTGTGAGACACTGGGTTAGATCCTCAGCCACATAAAAATAAATAAAGGTATTATGTCCATCTACAACTATAAAAATATGTATTAAAAAGTGGGGTGGTGGTGCTGGGATATAGCTCAGTGGTACAGCCCTGGGTTCAATTCCTAGTACCTAAAAGAAAGAAAAAAAAAAAAAAAACTTTAAAAAAAAAATGCATCCTGGGCCTCATGTTCTTAGGAAAAATTAAATCCATAAAGAACTTTCAATGTTTCGTGTAGACATATGAATCAGCCTAAATACATGTACAATAAAAATTCCCAATATCAAAAATTTTAAGTAGTAAAATAGGATGGACACTTTTCTTTTCGATTTGAAATCACTAGGCCTGCTGAATGCAAAGCGGGGAGTGTGTTCAGAGCCAAGAGGGTGCTCTGAAGCTACTTGTTAGAGCATCTGGACATGGGGACCGGAGCACTGGCTAGGTGTGCAGTTCAGGCAGTGGGGGAGACCCCCGAGTACACCAGAACAGCAGCAGCACACCCCGGGGATTTAAAAGGAGGCTCCACTATGCCACACGGACTGAGGCGAGAGTTCCTGTCACTTCCTACCATGGGAATGGATTGCACTGAAGTGAGGCTAAATCCAAGCCTGAAGAATTGTGGCCTAGAGAAGATGCCTTCCTGGCTTAAAAATGGGGGAAGGAGCATTGTTTTTATCACTGATGGTTGTTGTGATTGGTTTTTCATCAGGTAGGATATAGAGTGCTTAGGGTCAAGCATATCTGTCAAAGTGAAAAACCAATGTTAACGTTTAAAAAAGCTTTACCCAACTATAAGCAGCCTCCAGCTAATTATAGCCTAGAATTCAAATTCAGAGTCCAGTTGTTTTAAAAGGTAGAAACACAAACTTACATGAATAGGTGGAGCATTATATAGGTGTAACCATAGGCCTTAATTTTCAGGACAATTCCAACTACATGTTATGAAGCCTTTTTCAATAAGGTGAAATATTAAATGCATGCAGCACTTTGGGTCGGGGGGGATGGGGAAAAAGAGGTCTTTGCAAGAAAACTTAAAGGAAAAAATACAGTCAGCAAATATCCAGAATTTGAGTTTAAAAATGACTTGCTATGGATACTCTCTTCCCTTGGTGTTTGTGGGGTATGCCAGGGGTACTTAAGTCCCTCCTAGGTATTTCATGTAATCTGCACACATT